TACCTATATCCTAGGGGATGGGGACTTGGTTTGAAGCCTGAGGTTGCTGCAAACAGCACCTTTGATGGCATATATGCACACATAAGCCTGCAATCTCAGAATCTGAGGGAGTCCCCAATATTCAACACTCCACACCATCCTGACATCCACAGTTAGATGAAAAAGCATCTTTTTTTTCATCTTTGGAAACTTTCCTTTTAACAAAATTTAACAGGAACATTTTGGAAAAGATACCATTCTCCTAGAAATCTGTTCAGCACATGTTTCCACCAAAAGTGGAGAGCATATTCTTTTATTCTTCCAAATTGCCTCTCTTGTTTATATATATGTCACTATTTATCTGTTTATTAAATGTGTACAGTATAATACCCAAAGTCAATTTATGCTTAACAAAACAAGGAAGCTGGTCTTCTTTCAGTCCCACCATTACTCCTGGAAAATGCATGTTCCTGTTAATTCTAAGGGTAAGTTTGATCCATCAGCTAAGGACAAAAACACTGTTATTTATTAAACAGGAAGTATTGGGGAACATGACATGCCACCTACCTGAGACAGAAGTTTGTTATCATCCTCTAGCAGTTTGACTTTTGTTTCAAGTTGTCTGATGTAGTTGGAAGATGAATCTTTAAAGAAGAAAGGGGGGAAAGAGAGATTAATCTTCAGAAGAGATGGTACTTTAAAATCAAGCAAGATAGCTTCACTATTAGACTTAAGATTTTCTAATGAGAAGAACAATGCCTGCAGGAGCAATGAAGGTGTTTCTCAGATTGAATCTAAAGACTAAAAAAAAAAAGAAAGAAAGAAACACAAGGACACACAGAACCTGAAAAAGCCTGTAGTAACCCAAGACCTGCATTTGCCATAGCAGCATTGTGAGAAATAGTGAGGTTCAATTCAGTAATTTGAAAACAGTGGCTGAAGACATACAGACACACTCACTTGTGTAAAGCAATCCATCCAGAAAAGAGCAGAAAATGTTGGCGGGGGGGGGGTCAACATTCTGTTGGCAGCCCCCTTCTAAAAAGCTAAGTAAAATGAGATACTGCTGTTCCAAAACACCTGCCTGTTGTTTTGTAGAAATCTTACTATTTTACACACAATTTTTTTTTTAAAGGGCAGTTCATAATATATTGGGGTGTGTTAATAACTCCATATGTTTAATCTTGGAAATATTTATAATAGCCTTGAAAGGCAGATCTGTAGGCAATAAAAAGCTGCAGAGAGGCCAAATGGCCTGCCTATGGCTATATTAACAGTAGAGGTGAGATTTTATTCAAGAAATTCCTAGTTTGAAATGTTGACCACTCTACTATGTAGCTTTACCAATTTTCACCATAATATAAAATGCAGCCATAAGTCCTGACTGCCAAGTATGCCATAATCAAAGCTTTCATCTTCATGAGCATGCTATGACATGCCCTGATATCTTCTGTGCTTTTTAAACAGCTGCCATCAAACCATTAGAGTGTGTATCTCAGCCAGAAAGTAGCCTTGTTATGAAGTCAGAGTCATTGCCCAATTAGCCCAGGTGACTTCCAAGTGTGTGGAGTTCAATTCCCATTATTCCATCTGCTACCCTGCCTAGGAAAAGGTAGAAGTTGAACTTGAAGACTTCTCAAGGGTGCCAGAGAGATCTATTTTTATATTGCTTTAACTAGCTGAGGATTTTCACACTGGGGCAAGTGCCAGGAAAGACACTTTGCTGCCTGAAACAGATTCTAAGTGACAGCCCCACTCCCCACCCTCATAGTTTCCAACTAAGGCTGACATTTTCAAAAGTCTTATTACAATATTGGAATAACAATTCTGCTTTTAGACACTTGACTGGTTATGTGTCAGTAAGTCGGTGTTTATTCTTAGTGACCACATAGATTTCCCCAGGAAGTTCTATTTCCAACCTAGTCCCTTCAGGTCTTCCAACAATGTACCTATTGCCACTATAATTGAGTTCATTCACCTTGCCACTGGTCATCCTCTTTCAATGTTCCTTCCATCTTTCCCACCATTACAGACTTCTCCAGAGACCCTGGACTTTACATAAAGTGTCCAAACTCTGAAAATTTGAGTCTGGTCACTTATGCCTCAAGTAAGAACTCTGAGTTGATTTCTTTAATGATTCATTTGTTCATTTTCTTGGCTATCCATGGCATTCTCAGGAGTCTTCTCCAACACCAAAGTTCAAAAGCAGCAATATTTTTTCCATCCTGCTTCTCCAAAGTCCAATTCTTGCTTCCATATAGCGTCACAGGGAAAACAATTACCTGCACAATTCTAGTTTTTGTAGGCATAGACAAGTCCTGACATCTGAATATCTTTTCCAAGGCCTTCATGGCTGCTCTACTAAATGCTAGTCTGTAGTGTATTTCTTGACTGCTTATTCCTTTACTGAAGATAGTTAATCCTAAAAGGCAGAAGTTATCCACCACTTCATCTTCATTGTTAATTTTAAGAGTGATTACTATGCCTGTTGTCATTAGTTTGGGCTTCTTTATATTTAATCTTAATCCCATTTTTCACTATGCTCTTTGACTTTTATTACTACAGCTTGCAAATTGTTGGCAATTTCAGCTATAGTAGTGTCATCCATATAGCACAGGTTATTGAAGTTTCTTCTTCCAGTTTTAAAGCCACACTTATCTTCTTCCAATCCAGCTTCCCTCAAGATATATTCCACATACAGGTTGAATAAATAAGGGGAGAATATGCAGCCTTGTCTCACTCCTTTGCCAATCTGGAGCCAAACTCTTTCACCATGTTCTGTCTGTATTTTGGCTTCCTGACTGGTGTATAAGTTTCACATGAGGACAATGAGATGTTGGGATTCCCATTTTTCTAAGCACACTCCATAGCTTGACTTGATTGAAACAATTGAAGGTCTTTCTTTCTTTCTAATCAGTTAGGTTAGTATGTTTATTGTATTGCTTGACCTTCTCAATTATCCAGCCTGCATCAGCAATAACATCTCATGTTCCTCAGCCTTTTCTAAAGCCAGCTTGAACATCCAGCATCTCTCTTTCCATGTAGGGCTCTAATCTGCTTGGATGATCCTAAGCATTATTTTGCTGACATGTGTAATTAAAGATATTGTACAGTATTTTGCACAGTCTGTGAATGCTCCTTTCTTGGTATTGGAATGCAGATCGACCTCTTCCAATCTGTTGGCCACTGTGTTGCTCTCCAGATTTGCTGGCATAGCTTGGTTAGAACCTTTACTGATTCTTGATCTGTTGCTTGCCATATTTCTGTAGATATTCCATTAATTCCTGAGCCTTCTGACTTAGTAACGTGCAGAGTGCTTATCTAATTTAATCTAGTACTAAAGGTCTTTTAAGTAGAGGATAACTTCTAAGGTTTATTCGTTGTTGACATCTCTACTGAACAGAATTTCAGTATACTCCTTCCATCTTCATTTGGTCTTTGAATCAGCTACTATTTGACCAATGGCTTCCTTTAGTATACCAATTTGAGGTTGGAGCCTCCTCCTGAGTTTAGAGATCTTTTGGAAGACTTTCCTTGTTTTTCTGTGTCTGTTTCCATCTTCAGTGCCATTACAGTTCTTGTAATATTGCTTCTTGCCTCTTCTAACAGCTTTCTGAAATTTTTATATTAGGTTTATTCCTGAGATCTTTGGGGGGTTTTTTAGTTTTGGTTTCTCTTTTCTTCTTGGCAAGTTTCACAGTTTGTTCTGACATCCAGTTTGTTTTCTTCTGTTTCTTGAACTTCTTGAGGGTTTTTTTTTTCCACACTCATCCTCAAGAATTTAATTAATTCCACATTCTCTAGTTCCCTATCAGTGATGTTGAAGACTTCAAAGTGATTCCTAATGTTCTCCTTGAAAATGGTGGGTATATCCTCAAGGTCGTATCGTGGAAATTGGCTGGCTTTCTTCTTCTGCTTTAGCTTAATTTAGAACTTACACGTGAACAATTTATCATCTGTTCCACCATCAGCACCTGGCGATTATAACTGAGCTCTTCCACCTCCTCCTACCAATAATATAGTCAATTGATTTCTGTGTACTCCACTTGGTGATATCCATGCATATAGGCATCATTTTGGTAGTTAAATGACTGTGTTAGCGATGAAAAAAATCATTGGATTGGCAGAAATTGGTAAGTCATTCTTCTGCTTCATTTCAGTTTCCTAGACAGTACAACTACATTTTCCTCCTTAATATTTCCAATTTTGGCATTCCAATCTCCAACTACAAGCAGCACATGTTGCTTTCATATTCTGTCGATTTCAATATGTATTTGAACATAAAACTCATCAACCTCCTCTTCTTGAATATCAATGGTTGGAACATAAACTTGGATAATTGTCATATTAAAGGGTTATCCATGAAGTCTAATTGATATTATTCAGTCAGTGATTGCATTGTAGCCAAGTTCTGTTCCTGTTATACTCTTCCTAGCTATGAAGGCATTTCAGACACTATACTATTTTATTTTGCTTTGTGCATTCAGCAAACTTTGCATAATTTGAAAGGGACCTTTTAATACTAACAGTTTAGGTTTTATTCAATTCTGTTCTTATTTGTTTTGAAGGACTTTTACTATACTCACTAAATATCTTTTTTATCATAGATTTTAACCATTGACAAGCTTAAAAAATAGTAGCCATATTCAGCATTAGAAATATACATCCCAAAGTTATACACACACTTTTAGGAAGAAAACAGATCATTTCCTAGATTTTTTAAAATTCTGAAATCAGTGCTTACTGATAACTAAAAGGACATTTTCCATCTGCATTTACAGATGTGCCAAAATATTTCTAGCTGCCAATTAAGCAAAGAACAGCTCAGCAGCCCCAGTAATGAGAACTACAAGAGCTACACTCAATCAAACCACTGCCTTGAGACCTTAATCTTCATTTAAATGAAATAACTATTTAGATCTTTACATTCTGGCCTCCATAAGGGAGAGCAAAACACTCATTGTGACATTCAATTTCACTTACGCATGCTACGTCAGTACAGAATGGCAGGAGAGCAAAACTGAATGAACTATGCTGCTGCCAATGCAAATTGCCTGAAAAGAAATGTGACCTGGTGCCCTTTATACGCTTCTCTTCAAGATTAATCTCCAACTTCTTGTCAGCATTGTTCATCTGCTACAAATGGTGAAAGTATAAAAAGGGAGGGAGGAAACTCTGCAATAAAAAAACATGGTTTCTACTGTCACAGTGACCTCATTCACACACTGGACAGAGCCATCGTTAGTTTCATCATTATTTAATAAGTAAACCACAATTGGCTTAGCTCACATAACACACCAAACATGTCAGAGTTTTCAAACAATTAAGCAGGGCTCTTGTGCCTTTAAGTTAAAATTAAACCAAGTTACTTTTTTTGAATTATAGCTTAGTACAATATGCAAATCCAGCCAATATATATTGTAATATAAAAATCAGGATACAGGTAATCCTCACTTAATGACCATTTGTTCAGCAATCATGCAAAGTTACGATGGCACTGAATCAATGGTAGTTATGACTGGTCCTTGAAGTTACAGCTGTTGCAGCAACCCTGTGGTCATGTGATCAAAATTCAGGCACTCGGCAGCCCACCCACATTTACGACCACAGTGTGTGCTTCAACTCCCCCCACCCACCTATCTCC